ACGCCGCGAGTTCACCACGGTAACGCTGATACTGTCACCACTCGGGATGGGCAGGATTAGTCGATTAATCGATAATTGATCATTAAGAATTTCGTGGATTACATTATTTTGAATCGACAAACCTAATGTAGTTTGATCAAACGACCAAACGTCTGTTTTTCCTCGGACATGTCTGTTTCATTGGGACATTAAACTGAGCGTCTCTCGTCTGTGACTCAGAAGGAGCGAAACGCAAACACATCATCATCATCACCATCCTCATCATTAGCGACACAAGAGCTGAGCTGTTTTTTTCTTCTCTTATTCTACATTCAGACTGCAGGTTTAACGCTCAATTCCAATTTTTTTGTGAAATCCGATGTTTTTTCGAGGTCGTTCACATTTCCAATTAAATGTGTCTTGTATGTGTCTCCAGTGTGAACATTAAACGGTCCAAAAGTGTCCCACATGTGACACTGGAGACACGACGACGTCAACCGCAGTGAGCGTCTCTGTGTTTACACCTGGAGATTTTAAAGTTCCTCTCGTACCGGAGCCACAACATGAACAACTGACTTGTTTTAAGGAGGAGATTGAGAAGGAGAAGGAGCAGGTTTTTGGTGGTGGTGTTTTGTGGTGAGTGGAGATGTGCTTCACTTCAGTCACATGGATCATGAACAGTTTTCTCTACTTCAGTGCAGAATAGTGACGTTTGTGTCTTGTTGATGACGTGTAGGTGGATGAATGTGACCTGACCGTTCACACTCAAGTCACATGTTAAAGATCAGATATGGATCAGTTTCAGGAGCACAGATCCAAGTGTCCTGGGTCATGTTTGAAAAAATCAGATCTGTGTGGTTCAGACTGATATTAAAAGATCAGATACAGGAACATAGAGACAAAAAATCGGATTTGGGAACTTCAGGTGCAGACTGAACGCAGCCTTAGTTTATGCAAATGAGTCATGTGGTTTTAAGTTCAGTTTCTGTGAGACTTGCTGCATTAAATCTTCATTAAACACATGACGCGGCTCTATCGCGGCGACGGTTTATGTGTCGTAAAGTCGAGTTTATTTACACAGATTAGTGCAGAAAGTCGTAATAATGACAATCATTTTAATATAAAAACGTTAATGATAAATCGAAAATCAATCGTTAATTCTCCCGACGATCGATTAAGAAAATTTTAACGATTGTCCGTTGCTAGTCACCACGGTAACGCTGATACTTCTAGTACTTGTAGTTCTTATAGTACTTGCAGTACCAGTAGTCGTAGGAGTGGTCCCAGTTGTAGTAGTATTTATAGTACTTATAGTACTTGTAGTACTTGCAGTACCAGTAGTCGTAGGAGTGGTCCCAGTTGTAGTAGTACTTGTAGTACTTGTAGTACTTGTAGTACTTGCAGTACCAGTAGTCGTAGGAGTGGTCCCAGCTGTAGTAGTGCTTGTAGTGCTTGTAGTACTTGTAGTACTTGCAGTACCAGTAGTCGTAGGAGTGGTCCCAGTTGTAGTAGTGCTTGTAGTACTTGTAGTACTTGCAGTACCAGTAGTCGTAGGAGTGGTCCCAGTTGTAGTAGTACTTGTAGTACTTGTAGTACTTGCAGTACCAGTAGTCGTAGGAGTGGTCCCAGTTGTAGTAGTGCTTGTAGTGCTTGTAGTACTTGTAGTACTTGTAGTACCAGTAGTCATAGGAGTGGTCCCAGTTGTAGTAGTACTTGTAGTACTTGTAGTACTTGTAGTACTTGCAGTACCAGTAGTCGTAGGAGTGGTCCCAGTTGTAGTAGTGCTTGTAGTGCTTGTAGTACTTGTAGTACTTGTAGTACTTGCAGTACCAGTAGTCGTAGGAGTGGTCCCAGTTGTAGTAGTGCTTGTAGTGCTTGTAGTACTTGTAGTACTTGTAGTACTTGCAGTACCAGTAGTCGTAGGAGTGGTCCCAGTGGTCAAAGTGAACTCTGATTCGTTGTTGGACGACGTCGGCCACAGACGCGACACAAACGAGTCCTGGGTTTTTCCTGTCGACAGCCTCCAGCTTCATCCCCCGACGCAGCCGACAGGGGGCGCCCTGTCAACACACAGAACACTGTCAGCCTGCAGGGAGCGCCCTGTCAGTCGGAAAAAATAAATAAATAATAAAATAATAAATAATGAATAAAAATAATAGTAAAGTCTAAATGTGTTTGATATTTGACCTTCAGACCCTCAAACCCTCGACCCTCACTGAGTCAGGATCAAGTCCCTGAAAAGGTTTTCACTTCAGAAGGGGCGTTGTAGGACTGTAGGACTGTAGGGGGCGTTGTAAGACTGTAGGGGGCGTTGTAGGACTGTAGGGGGCGTTGTAGGACTGTAGGGGGCGTTGTAAGACTGTAGGGGGCGCTGTAGGACTGTAGGGGGCGTTGTAGGACTGTAGGGGGCGTTGTAGGACTGTAGGACTGTACGGGACGCTGTAGGACTGTAGGACTGTAGGGGGCGTTGTAGGACTGTAGGGGGCGTTGTAAGACTGTAGGGGGTGCTGTAGGACTGTAGGGGGCGTTGTAGGACTGTAGGGGGCGTTGTAGGGACTGTAGGGGGCGTTGTAGGACTGTAGGGGGCGTTGTAGGACTGTAGGGGGCGCTGTAGGACTGTAGGACTGTAGGGGACGCTGTAGGACTGTAGGGGGCGTTGTAAGACTGTAGGGGGCGCTGTAGGACTGTAGGGGGCGTTGTAGGACTGTAGGGGGCGTTGTAGGACTGGGGGGCGCTGTAGGACTGTAGGACTGTAGGGGACGCTGTAGGACTGTAGGACTGTAGGGGACGCTGTAGGACTGTAGGGGCGTTGTAAGACTGTAGGGGGCGCTGTAGGACTGTAGGGGGCGTTGTAGGACTGTAGGGGGCGTTGTAGGACTGTAGGGGGCGCTGTAGGACTGTAGGACTGTAGGGGACGCTGTAGGACTGTAGGACTGTAGGGGACGCTGTAGGACTGTAGGGGGCGCTGTAGGACTGTAGGGGGCGCTGTACTCACGGTGTTGGTTCTGAACAGAGACGCTGGCGCCGCCTCTGACCCGGTCCTCTCCAGGTACTCCGACCAATCAAACTGCTCCTCTGGCACACCTGAAAGAAACGGCCAATCATAGAGGAGCAAACAAAGACAACAGATTTCACGGTCTAGTCCCGGTCTGTACCTCTGGGGGGGTGCAGTCTTCGTCCAGTCTCGCGGCAGAATCCGGCCGGTTTGATTTCAGGCGAGTCTGAATTTACCCAGAAGTCATAGCTCTCCGAGAAACCATCGATGTGGAGCCTCAGGCGACAGCCAATCACCTGCCAGAGAGGTTTGAACTGGCCAATCAGAGCAGAGACTATAGACTTTCTATATAACTGGTGTGTAGTTTAAAGTGTTTAAAATGGAGGTATTAATGTTTAAGAACAATGACACCTCCACTTTAAACATACGACATCAGCTGGAGCTGCTGTTGCCGCGGCGACAGGTGTGATGCGTTGCCATGGTGACAGACCTCAGCCACAGTCAGGACGCAGAAGAGTGACGTGTGCAGAGGATCCACTCCCTCCAACTTCATCCCCACTCTGAACCCACAGCTCCTCCTGCTGGGACACGCCTGGTACTGCAACACACACGGATAACGGATGGGCTCAGACCTGGTTCAGTCCTGGTTCAGACCTGGTTTAGTCCTGGTTTAGTCCTGGTTCAGTCCTGGTTTAGACCTGGTTTAGGCCTGGTTTAGTCCTGGTTTAGTCCTGGTTTAGTCCTCGTTCAGTCCTGGTTCAGTCCTGGTTTAGACCTGGTTTAGACCTGGTTTAGACCTGGTTCAGTCCTGGTTTAGTCCTCGTTCAGTCCTGGTTCAGTCCTGGTTTAGACCTGGTTTAGACCTGGTTTAGTCCTCGTTCAGTCCTGGTTCAGTCCTGGTTTAGTCCTGGTTCAGTTCTGGTTCAGACCTGGTTGAAGACTTCTGGAGGAGCTGCAGGTGCGTTCTGTTGGTCCAGATACTGCTGCCAGGACCAGGACTTGTTTCTGAGTCCCACTGAAAAAAAAAAAAAAAGTAAATATTATTAGAGTAGTAGTAGTAGTAATAGTAGTATTTGTAATAGTATTTGTAGTAGTAGTATTTGTAGTAGTATTTGTAGCAGTAGTATTTGCAGTAGTAGTATTTGTAGTAGTAGTAGTAGTAGTAGTAGTAGTAGTATAGTTAGTAGTAGTAGTATAGTTAGTATTTGTAGTAGTAGTATTTGTAGTAGTAGTATTTGTAGTAGTAGTAGTAGTAGTATTTGTAGTAGTAGTATTTGTAGTAGTAGTATTTGTAGTAGTAGTAGTAGTAGTATTTGTAGTAGTATTTGTAGTAGTAGTATTTGTAGTAGTAGTAGTAGTAGTATTTGTAGTAGTAGTATTTGTAGTAGTAGTATTTAGTATTTGTAGTAGTATTTGTAGTAGTAGTAGTAGTAGTAGTAGTAGTAGTAGTAGTAGTATTGTAGTAGTAGTATAGTAGTAGTAGTAGTAGTATGTAGTAGTAGTAGTAGTAGTATAGTAGTAGTAGTAGTTTTGTAGTAGTATTTGTAGTAGTAGTATTTGTAGTAGTAGTAGTAGTAGTATTTGTAGTAGTAGTAGTTAGTAGTAGTAGTATTTGTAGTAGTAGTATTTAGTAGTAGTAGTAGTAGTATTTGTAGTAGTAGTATTTGTAGTAGTAGTAGTATTTGTAGTAGTAGTAGTAGTAGTATTAGTAGTAGTAGTAGTATTGTAGTAGTAGTAGTAGTATTTGTAGTAGTATTTGTAGTAGTAGTATTTGTAGTAGTAGTAGTAGTAGTATTTGTAGTAGTAGTGTTAGTAGTAGTAGTAGTTTTAGTAGTAGTAGTAGTATTAGTAGTAGTAGTAGTAGTATTTGTAGTAGTATTTAGTAGTAGTATTTGTAGTAGTAGTATTTGTAGTAGTAGTAGTAGTTTGTAGTAGTAGTATTTGTAGTAGTATTTGTAGTAGTATTTGTAGTAGTAGTATTTGTAGTAGTAGTAGTAGTAGTATTTGTAGTAGTAGTAGTAGTAGTATTTAGTAGTATTTGTAGTAGTATTTGTAGTAGTAGTATTTGTAGTAGTATTTGTAGTAGTAGTATTTGTAGTAGTATTTGTAGTAGTAGTAGTAGTAGTAGTAGTAGTATTTGTAGTAGTAGTATTTGTAGTAGTAGTATTTAGTAGTAGTAGTAGTAGTATTTGTAGTAGTAGTAGTATTTTGTAGTAGTAGTAGTTAGTAGTAGTAGTAGTATTTGTGTAGTAGTAGTAGTAGTAGTAGTAGTAGTATTTGTAGTAGTAGTATTTGTAGTAGTAGTATTTGTAGTAGTAGTATTGTAGTAGTAGTATTAGTAGTAGTAGTAGTATTTGTAGTAGTATTGTAGTAGTATTTGTAGTAGTATTTGTAGTAGTATTTGTAGTAGTATTTGTAGTAGTAGTAGTAGTATTTAGTAGTAGTAGTAGTAGTATTTGTAGTAGTAGTAGTAGTAGTAGTAGTATGTAGTAGTAGTAGTAGTATTTGTAGTAGTAGTATTAGTAGTAGTAGTAGTATTTAGTAGTAGTAGTAGTAGTAGTATTTGTAGTAGTATTTGTAGTAGTATTTGTAGTAGTAGTATTTAGTAGTAGTAGTAGTATTTTAGTAGTAGTATTGTAGTAGTAGTAGTAGTAGTAGTAGTAGTAGTATTTGTAGTAGTATTTGTAGTAGTATTTGTAGTAGTATTTGTAGTAGTATTTGTAGTAGTATTAGTAGTAGTAGTAGTAGTAGTAGTGTAGTAGTAGTATTTGTAGTAGTAGTATTTGTAGTAGTAGTATTTGTAGTAGTATTTGTAGTAGTAGTATTTGTGTACCTGGGGCACTGCTGGTCACTTTGTTCTTCATTTTCTTTGGTATAAATAATTTTTCTAAAAACAGAAACACAAATGTCAAATTATTTTAGTCGATAAAAATCTGATTTAAAAACTGTTTTAACCCAAACTCTTGTTTTTATATAAATTATTATATGTGTAAATACTTTTATATTTTATATATAGTACTATAGTACTGTAACAATAATCTTGTAGGGAGCAGTGTACACAGGCACTTCCTGTTTGCTGAGGTAAACAGGAAACACTCTGACAACTTCACAATAAAAGTCTGAGGCGCTTTGGTTTCAGAAACAAACTTCACAATAAGAGCACGACTTTAGAGCCAAAACAAGACAGACACAGATTCCACACAGACCCGGCAGAGACCCGGCAGAGACCCGGCAGAGACCCGGCACCCGGAAGACCCGGCAGAGACCCGGCAGAGACCCGGCAGAGAGACCCGGCAGAGACCCGGCAGAGACCCGGCAAAGACCCGGCAAAGACCCGGCAGAGACCCGGCAGAGACCCGGCAAAGACCCCGGACCCAGAGACCCGGCAGAGACCCAGACCCGGCAGAGACAGAGACCGGCAAAGACCCGGCAAGACCGGCAGAGACCCGGCAGAGACCCGGCAGAGACCCGGCAAAGACCCGGCAGAGACCCGCAGAGACCCCCAGACCCGCAAAGACCCGGCAGAGACCCGGCAGAGACCCGGCAGAGACCCGGCAAAGACCCGGCAGAGACCCGGCAGAGACCCGGCAGAGACCCCAAAGACCCGGCAAGACCCGGCAAGACCCGGCAAGACCCGGCAAAGACCCGCAGACCCCAAAGACCCGGCAGAGACCCGGCAGAGACCCGGCAGAGACCCGGCAAAGACCCGGCAAAGACCCGGCAGAGACCCGGCAGAGACCCGGCAGAGACCCGGCAAAGACCCGGCAAGACCCGGCAGAGACCCGGCAGAGACCCCAAAGACCCGGCAAAGACCCGGCAAAGACCCGGCAAAGACCCGGCAGAGACCCGGCAGAGACCCGGCAAAGACCCGGCAGAGACCCGGCAGAGACCCGGCAGAGACCCGGCAAGAGACCCGGCAGAGACCCCAAAGACCCGGCAAAGACCCGGCAGAGACCCCAAAGACCCGGCAAAGACCCGGCAAAGACCCGGCAGAGACCCCAAAGACCCGGCAAAGACCCGGCAAAGACCCGGGGTTCCACACAGATCCTCCTCTAATGTAACACGGAGGTCAATTTTTTGCGGGGGAAAAGTTTCTTCCTGTTTTCTGGTCCAATATTTGAGGAGAATCTGAGGAGATGAAGTTTTACTAATATTAGCGTTAGCATTAGCATGAGCTCAGTGAGCCGGAGGAGCTAACCCTCTTTATTTACTTTACGTTACTTTACTTCACTTTACTTTTACTTTACTTTACTCATTTATTTATTTTCATTCTTTTTCCATCTTTAAACTGTTCTTCATCAACACTGTGGTGTAAACAGCATCAACACGACCACACAGTTTAAAAAGAGTTTATGTGGATCTGCCCCTGAACTGATCCGAGACAGAACCTCCCGGACCCGCAGCCCGCACACACCGGCTCCGGCTCCGGCTCCGGTTCCGGTTCTGTTTGACTAATCGGCAAAGTCCAGCTGGACAAGAGGCCGATGAAGGAGAGAGTCCGTCATGTTGAGGGTTCCGAACACTTTAAACATTTCTAAAGGTCCAAAGTCGGACTTAAAACTACGTCAGTTATAGTCGGTTCCGGTCGGGACATAGACTGTGTGGTTCTGGGACGTGGACCGGGTCAGAACCTTAAAATTAATATAACATATTTGGGTCTTTTATTGTGAAACTGTCGCGGAAGAGGAAGGTTTAGGTCGGATAAAGCTCCGGAGCTCCGGCGCCACACACCGAGCCCCCGCGACCCCGAGCCCGGCCCGAGGAGCGCCTCCGCCGGCCACAGCCCGCCCCGCGCCCCGCTGCGCCCCCGGAACTCCACACACCCGCACTCACCCGCGAAATCCTCCCGCCACAGCTCCTCCAGCGCGCGACGATCATGCGCGAGACCCACGGAAGTGCACCGGCCCTCTGCGCATGCGCCTGTCACGGAAGGGGGCGGGGCGGATTTACAGCTGTCAATCATCCGAGAACAACAAGTCAACACGGATCACATAGACACTTTTCACACACACCAGTGCACACACACACACACACTAGGGGTGGGGAGGGTTAAGTGTTTTGCCCGAGGACACAACAGGAGCATTCGTCTGTGGGAGCTGGAATCACACCGACAACCTGTGGCTCTGTGATCTGACTGTTCTACAAATGATGTTTATGTTGAGAGCGGGATTCAAACCACCAACCTCCTGATCACTGACCCACGCTCAGCTGAGCTCCTGCTGCTGGGAGTATTATCTGTCACATAAGAGTGAGTTGTACAGTTGTAGGGAGTATTATCTGTCACATAAGAGTGAGTTGTACAGTTGTAGGGAGTATTATCTGTCACATAAGAGTGAGTTGTACAGTTGTAGGGAGTATTAACTGTCACATAAGAGTGAGTTGTACAGTTGTAGGGAGTATTATCTGTCACATAAGAGTGAGTTGTACAGTTGTAGGGAGTATTATCTGTCACATAAGAGTGAGTTGTACAGTTGTAGGGAGTATTATCTGTCACATAAGAGTGAGTTGTACAGTTGTAGGGAGTATTATCTGTCACATAAGAGTGAGTTGTACAGTTGTAGGGAGTATTATCTGTCACATAAGAGTGAGTTGTACAGTTGTAGGGAGTATTATCTGTCACATAAGAGTGAGTTGTACAGTTGTAGGGAGTATTATCTGTCACATAAGAGTGAGTTGTACAGTTGTAGGGAGTATTATCTGTCACATAAGAGTGAGTTGTACAGTTGTAGGGAGTATTATCTGTCACATAAGAGTGAGTTGTACAGTTGTAGGGAGTATTATCTGTCACATAAGAGTGAGTTGTACAGTTGTAGGGAGTATTATCTGTCACATAAGAGTGAGTTGTACAGTTGTAGGGAGTATTATCTGTCACATAAGAGTGAGTTGTACAGTTGTAGGGAGTATTATCTGTCACATAAGAGTGAGTTGTACAGTTGTAGGAGTATTATCTGTCACATAAGAGTAGTACAGTTGTAGGGAGTATTAACTGTCACATAAGAGTGAGTTGTACAGTTGTAGGGAGTATTATCTGTCACATAAGAGTGAGTTGTACAGTTGTAGGGAGTATTATCTGTCACATAAGAGTGAGTTGTACAGTTGTAGGGAGTATTATCTGTCACATAAGAGTGAGTTGTACAGTTGTAGGGAGTATTATCTGTCACATAAGAGTGAGTTGTACAGTTGTAGGGAGTATTATCTGTCACATTAGAGTGAGTTTGTACAGTTGTAGGGAGTATTATCTGTCACATAAGAGTGAGTTGTACAGTTTAGGGAGTATTATCTGTCACATTAGAGTGAGTTGTACAGTTGTAGGAGTATTATCTGTCACATAAGAGTGAGTTGTACAGTTGTAGGGAGTATTATCTGTCACATAAGAGTGAGTTGTACAGTTGTAGGGAGTATTATCTGTCACATAAGAGTGAGTTGTACAGTTGTAGGGAGTATTATCTGTCACATAAGAGTGAGTTGTACAGTTGTAGGGAGTATTATCTGTCACAAAAGTCCTGGTTTAGACCTGGTTTAGACCTGGTTTAGTCCTGGTTTAGACCAAGTTTAGACCCAGTTTAGACCTGGTTTAGTCCCAGTTTAGACCTGGTTTAGACCTGGTTTAGACCTGGTTTAGACCAAGTTTAGACCCAGTTTAGACCTGGTTTAGTCCCAGTTTAGACCTGGTTTAGACCTGGTTTAGTCCTGGTTTAGTCCCAGTTTAGACCTGGTTTAGTCCCAGTTTAGACCTGGTTTAGTCCTGGTTTAGACCTGGTTTAGACCTGCTTTAGACCTGGTTTAGTCCCAGTTTAGACCTGGTTTAGTCCTGGTTTAGACCTGGTTTAGTCCTGGTTTAGTCCTGGTTTAGTCCTGGTTTAGTCCTGGTTTTGTCCTGGTTTAGTCCTGGTTTAGTCCTGGTTTAGACCTGGTTTAGTCCTGGTTTAGTCCTGGTTTAGTCCTGGTTTAGACCTGGTTTAGTCCTGGTTTAGTCCTGGTTTAGACCTGGTTTAGTCCTGGTTTAGTCCTGGTTTAGTCCTGGTTTAGTCCTGGTTTAGACCTGGTTTAGACCTGCTTTAGACCTGGTTTAGTCCCAGTTTAGACCTGGTTTAGTCCTGGTTTAGACCTGGTTTAGTCCTGGTTTAGTCCTGGTTTAGACCTGGTTTAGACCTGGTTTAGTCCCAGTTTAGACCTGGTTTAGTCCTGGTTTAGTCCTGGTTTAGTCCTGGTTTAGACCTGGTTTAGACCTGGTTTAGTCCCAGTTTAGACCTGGTTTAGTCCTGGTTTAGACCTGGTTTAGACCTGGTTTAGTCCTGGTTTAGTCCTGGTTTAGTCCCAGTCCTGTCAGGATAAATGCTGATGCTGTTTTAGAGCATCCTTCTGAAAGCTTCCTGTCTCCTCCCCGTGCATCCTACCTCCTCGGCTCCTACCACCTTGTCTCCTTGTCTTCTCAGTTCTGTCTCGGATCTCGTCGGGTCCACAGCTCCCCTCAGTCTGGACTATAGGCTCAGTCCTGGTTTGGTCTTGGTTCGGGGTCCTGGTTCGGTCCTGGTTCGGGGTCCTGGTTTGGTCCTGGTTTGGGGTCCTGGTTCGGTCCTGGTTCGGTCCTGGTTCGGTCCTGGTTTGGTCTTGGTTCGGGGTCCTGGTTCGGTCCTGGTTCGGTCCTGGTTCGGTCCTGGTTCGGTCCTGGTTCGGTCCTGGTTCGGGGTCCTGGTTCGGTCCTGGTTCGGTCCTGGTTTGGTCCTGGTTCAGGGTAAGTCTCTCTGGTCCTGAGCTCTGACCCTTGAACAAGGCACCTTGAGCTGTGGGATTAGTGGCAGAGTCTGACCCAGATCTTGGTGCTTAGGTTGGACCTGGTCCTGGTTTAGTCCTGGTTTAGACCTGGTTTAGTCCTGGTTTAGACCTGGTTTAGACCTGGTTTAGTCCTGGTTTAGACCTGGTTTAGACCTGGTTTAGTCCTGGTTTAGTCCTGGTTTAGACCTGGTTTAGTCCTGGTTTAGACCTGGTTTAGACCTGGTTTAGTCCTGGTTTAGTCCTGGTTTAGACCTGGTTTAGTCCTGGTTTAGACCTGGTTTAGTCCTGGTTTAGACCTGGTTTAGACCTGGTTTAGTCCTGGTTTAGACCTGGTTTAGTCCTGGTTTAGCTGGTTTAGTCCTGTTTTAGTCCTGGTTTAGACCTGGTTTAAGTCCTGGTTTAGTCCTGGTTTAGACCTGGTTTAGTCCTGGTTTAGACCTGGTTTAGTCCTGGTTTAGACCTGGTTTAGTCCTGGTTTAGTCCTGGTTTAGACCTGGTTTAGTCCTGGTTTAGTCCTGGTTTAGTCCTGGTTTAGACCTGGTTTAGTCCTGGTTTAGACCTGGTTTAGTCCTGGTTTAGTCCTGGTTTAGACCTGGTTTAGTGGTTTAGTCCTGGTTTAGACCTGGTTTAGTCCTGGTTTAGTTTAGGTTTAGACCTGGTTTAGTCCTGGTTTAGACCTGGTTTAGTCCTGGTTTAGACCTGGTTTAGTCCTGGTTTAGTTTAGTCCTGGTTTAGTCTGGTCTTTAGACTGGTTTAGACCTGGTTTAGTCCTGGTTTAGTCCTGGTTTAGACCTGGTTTAGTCCTGGTTTAGTTCTCTCTGGGGACTTGAGTCCATTAAGAGGAAATGGAGCTTTCACACAATCAGAACTCAGCACTTCTGTTTACAACAAGACACCAGGACTAAACCAGGTCTAAACCAGGTCTAAACCAGGACTAAACCAGGACTAAACCAGGTCTAAACCAAGTCTCAACCAGGACTAGGCCAGTTTGTGTGCCACAGATGCCCTGGGGCAGGCTGATGGAGAAGTGGAACATTGGATTAAATGATGATGATACATGTTTAAACAAGAGAGTCTGGTCTGGACCTACAGCTGGACCTTCTCCAGATCTGGTTAGGATCCTGGTCTGGACCTACAGCTGGACCTTCTCCAGATCTGGTTAGGATCCTGGTCTGGACCTACAGCTGGACCTTCTCCAGATCTGGTTAGGATCCTGGTCTAGTTCATGTTGAGGTTAACGACTCTGCTGTTGCCACAGGATGCTGCCCGCAGACTCCGCCCCTCTGACCTCTGACCCCAGGCACACTGCAGACTCCGCCCCTCTGACCTCTGACCCCAGGCACGTCGCCATGGAGACGTACTGGAGGGAGGTGCAGAGCATCGAGGAAGAGGAAGAAGAGGATGAAGAGACAAAGAGTCTGGACGGTAAGACCTGGTTTAGTCCTGGTTTAGACCTGGTTTAGACCTGGTTTAGACCTGGTTTAGACTGGTTTAGTCCTGTTAGACCTGGTTTAGACCTGGTTTAGTCCTGGTTTAGACCTGGTTTAGTCCTGGACCTGGTTTAGACCTGGTTTAGTCCTGGTTTAGAGACTGGTTTAGACCTGGTTTAGTCCTGGTTTAGACCTGGTTTAGACCTGGTTTAGTCCTGGTTTAGACCTGGTTTAGACCTGGTTTAGACCTGGTTTAGACCTGGTTTAGTCCTGGTTTAGTCCTGGTTTACCTGGTCCTGGTTTAGACCTGGTTTTAGACC